ATAGCCATTGGAAAGTTTTGAAAAGTCTTTGATCCTACAGTAAAAAATAATGTACATTTTTACCACTTCTGTAGCTGGTTTTGAGACTCTGCTGTTAAGCTCTAGAATGGAAAGAGGATTTATACCATGAAACAAGTGTTGGGAGAAATGTATTAAATATTTGAACAATAAATTTGGCATTTTATACCCTATTCAGGGCTGTTCAACTAATAGTCTGCAGGCCCTGTGCAGCCCCCAAGGGGTTAAACTTCAGCACTCAGCCTCCTGCTGCTGCAGGAATTTCTGGGCTCCCCTTCCAGCCTACCTCCACCTTCTGCTGCCTGCCTTTCTCCCTGAGGTGGAGCAGGGCAGAGTGGCACAGCTCACAGAGCCAAGGAATCCTACAGCCAGGTGGCTCAGGGGCACTGACATAATGCAGTTGTGAGGGGAAGGGCACCCACCACAAGACACAGCACAGGGAACCCACACATCTTACAGTCTAGGGCAGGGGTCGGTAACCTATGGCATGCGTACTGAATGTGGCACACGGGCTGCTTCCCACCCCAAGGGGCGGGAAGAGGCATGCCCAGATTGAGCAGCACATGGCTGCCCGAGAACACCCTTGTGCTGCTGCCGACCCCTGCATTAGACTTGCCACTGCTGGACCCCAGCCCTGGAACACCAACCCCTGCCAGGTAAGAGCCCCGGGCCCCAATCCTAGCCCGGCCCCAGGCAGGGGACCATCCCCACCCCAATGGCCCTGGCCCCAACTGTGGGCTGCTGGCCCGCAGGCCCCAGCCGGCACCACCGCCACCATGGACCCTGGGCCTGGCCACATGCTTCCGGCAGGCCGGCACCGTTGCTGCTACAGGCCCTGGCCCAATGCCAGCAACGGGCCGGGGCCATTAGGATGGGGTCGGGGCCGCAGACCTGCACAGGCCCTGGCCCCATCCTGGAGCTACAGATGGCCCTGGCCACGTGCTGCCAGTGGGACCAGCTGGCACCCCTGCAGCCACTGGGCCAGGGCTGTTGGCTGCACTGGGATGAGGCCAGGGCCCAGGCCCGTGCACAGGCCCTGGCCGGCACCGCCGCTGCCCGCCCCAGCCCAGCGCTGCTGCTGGGCTGGGGCCATCTGCAGTGCCAGGATGAGGCTGGGGTCTAGCCCCATCTTGGTGCTGCCGGTGGGCTGGGCCCCAGCCGGCACCTCCACCACTGCTGCTGGGCCAGGGCCATCAGCAGCACCTGCCGGCGGGAGAGGCCCTGGTGGCATGGACAGTGCCTGCCCCAGCCCAGTGCCGCTGCTGGGCCAGGGCTGTCTGCAGCGCTGGGATGAGGCTGGGGCCCAGGCCCATCTTGGCACTGCAGATGGCCCCAGTCCCATGTTGCCGGTGGACGCAGCCCCAGCCCCATCCCGGTGCTGCTGGCAGATGCAGCCCTGGCTGGCACCTCTGCCGCCGCTGCTGGGCCCGGGCCC